CACACACACACACACACACACACACACACACATCAGCACGCTCTTCACACGTTTCGTGGTCCCATAGGGAGTTCCACCGAAGGCCCCAATGCCACCGCCCGCATGCGTCCCCCACGCCCATGTCGTCAAACCCCTCAAACGTTTCGTGGCCTCACAAGGAGTCCCACCAAAGGCCCCAATGCCACCGCCCGCATGCGTCCCCCACACCCAATTCGGCACACCCCTCACACGCTTCGTGGCCCCATAGGGAGTTCCACCGAAGGCCCCAGTGCCACCGCCCGCATGCGCCCCCCACGCCCATTTCGGCACACCCCTCACACGCTTCGTGGCCCCAGGGGAGCTCCACCGGAGGCCCCAGTGCCACCGCCCGCATGCGTCCCCCACACCCCTTTTCGGCACACCCCTCACACGTTTCGGCACACCCTACAGCCGAACCTACTGGGCACCAGCGGTCTGCAGCCGGACCATCTCTCGGTCCTGTGGACTCTCGCCCTGGCCCGTCGGCTGTCCGGCGCGCTGCTCCCTCGGCCGACGTCGCCCAGGCGTGATCCTGGAATGCGGCCGCCACGAGGTCGGGAACGGCAAGAAGGAGGACGACGACTGGTGGCTGGAGCTCTATGCGCTGCTCTCGCGCGCCACGCGCCACGAGGACCTCCTCCTCACGCGGGCGCCGCGCATCGAGTTCTTCCTGGCAGGACCGCCGGAAGGCTTGCGGAAGCAGCTCGAGCAGCTTGCGGCGCGCACGAAGCGGTGAAGGAGGGAGGCAACGGTCCTCGCCTGGGAGCTCGGTTTCACCGAGTTTATCCGCGAGGCCTGACCTGCCCCCCCCCCGAGCCGCGCCTTCTCTCGACTGCCCAACTAATTGTTTGGCCTCGCGCCGCGGACGACCCGCGCGCGTCGCTGGGACCCTGTCGGGGCGACTTGCGCGCGTCGCGGGAGCTCCGTGCTGCGTTCTTCCCTGCGCCTCGCTCGCCCGTCGTCGCTCTGCCCAGCGGTCAGAGCCTTGCCCGCTATCAGCCAGCCAGCTAGCTAGCTAGCTCTCTTTGCTCCGCGCAGCGGACGACCCGCGCGCGTCGCTGGGACCCTTCCGGGGCGACCGGCGCGAGTCGCGGGGACTTCGCGCCGCGCTTCGCCCGCAGCTTTGGACTTTGGAGTGCGCGGGCAAAAAGGGAGGAAAAGAAGGGAAGGAAGCGGGCGCGATCCTCGGGAGGAGCGTGCCGACATGGGCGTCGCGGCGTGCGGGCGCTGCCGCCGGGGTTCCCGCGGAAGCTTTCTGCGTCGGCCACGCTCAGTGTCACGAGTGCACACACACAGGCATACCCGAACCATTCACATTCAGATACATTCACACGAGGCGTAGCCATGATCACATTCGTGCAAATATATTCGCTCGCACGCAGACTCATTCACACTTACACCCAGTCGCGCTCAGATTCACCCGCGCTCAATCTCTCGTACTTAGACCAATAGTTTTCCTTTGTGTTGTGTGCCCCGCCACATTTCGGCACGCCCCTCATACGGTTCGTGGGCACCACCGAAGAAGATACTCACAATTGCGGTACTCACAACTGCATCTGGTTGGGTCTTTCGCTGGGATAATTTTCCAGTCAGAGCGATGTCGATGTCTCAAACAGGTACCGCCGCTGCAGCGCGGACCTCATGTTAGGAACGGCGCGCTGTTCCAACCGTCCAGAATAGCGCTCTCGCACAAACGCGGGCCACTTTTGCGGAACCGGGTCCGTCCTTGCCATTGCCGTCCCAATCCTTTTCCCCTCCCCCCCGCCTTCCCCTGGTCCTCCTGCTCCTCTTGCTACTCCCTCTCCTGTTTCTGCTGCTGATGTTTCGCCTCGTCCTCCTCCTTCCTCATGCTCCCTTCTGTTTATCCGCCACCTCCTCCTCCAATGTACACAACCCCCTAGCAGGCTTAACACACTTTACACGACGGCGATCCTGTTGGGGTTCCAGGTCCGCCAAAACAGACACCCGTCCGTGGATAGAGGAAACATCAGCACACTGCGAAGGAATGCGTGAAAGAGGCAGAATATCAGATAACGGAAGGTGCACCCAATTTGCCTCTCTCCTCTCTCTTCTCTCCTCCTCCCTCTCTCTCCTCCTCCTCCTCCGCCTGATCCTCCTCCACTCTCCTCCTCCTCCTCCTCCACCTCCTCCTCCTCCTCCTCCTCCTTCTCCTCCTCCCTACCCCGCTTATACTTGCGTCCAACACAGCGGGAACAAGTGGGCAGGGCTCACGGAAATTCTTAAAGATCGTCATCCCTCACGGCCCGCACACAGCACACGCACGTACACACACACACACACACACACACACACACACACACACACACACACACACACACACACACACACACACACACACACAACACACACACACACACACACACACACAAACACGCACACACGTATACACGCACACACACACACACACACACACCACATACACACACACACACACACACACACACCATACACACACACACACACACACACATTCACACACACACACACACACGCGCGCGCAGGCACGCACGCGCGCACGCACGCACGCACGCACGCACGCACGCACGCACGCACGCACGCACGCACGCACACACACACACACACACACACACACACACACCACGGTCCCCCTCCCCCCCGCGAGAGTAAATGGCAAGGCAGAGTAATTGGCCACGACAGTGATCGCAGCATGGGCCCGACTTTCGACCGCAACGACCATTCTCTTCCCTCCTCCTCCTCTGGCGATGGACGCGTGTTCGCCCGCGCCGCACGGGGCTCTGTGATCGGGAGCCGGCGCACTCCCTCGCCGTCCCTCAGACGAAACGGTTCGCCGGGGAGCGGCGCGCAAGCGGCGGCCAGTCCCCTCTCCGCCTCCTCTCCCGTCTTCTTCCCGCGGCGCTGGCCTCCGCCCGCGCACGTGCTTCTTGCCCCCGCGCTTAACTCCCATCGCGCTCTGCCGCGGCTGGGCGAGGCGGAGTGGGGGAGGAGAAGGAGGAGGAGGAGGAGGAGGAGGAGGATCCTCCATCTCGATGATGGGGATGCGGGGGCAGACGAGGGAGGAGGAGGAGAGGAAGGGGGGGAGTCGCAGAAATAAGAGGGTAGAGGAGGGAGAGTGGGTGGGAAGGGGAGTGAGGCGAAGGAGGGGATGGCCCCCCCCCCACCCCTTGAGGCGCGATTGTTTGGCGTTCGGGTCATGCCTCGGGTCTCCCGCGGCCATTCGGGACGACTTCTGCGCCCCTGGAACGCCGTCGTCGACGCGCAGCTACTGGAAAGCATCCCGAGGCTGGAACACCTCCTGGAACCACCGAAGGCGCCCGAAAGCCTCGACCCACCGTCAGAGGCGGCCGTCATCCTCGTCCTCGTCCTCGTCGTCGCCGTCGTCGTCGTCCCCGTTCTCGTCCTTGTCGTCGTGGTCGTCCCCGTCCTCGTCGTCGTCGTCGTTATCGTCGACGTCCCCGTCCCCGTTTTCATCATGGTTGTCGTCGTCGTCGTTGTTGTTCGTGTTGTTATTGTTGTTAGTGTTGTTGTTGCTGTTATTGTTGTTGGTGTTGTTAGTGTGGTGTTGGTGGTGGTGTTGTTGTTGCTGTTGTTGTTAGTGTCGCCGTCGTCGTCGTCCAGCGCCTGGGCCCTCCTCCACGGGGCCTTACCACCTCACCGCTTCCCCCCCACGGGGGCCCGACACCCCGCCCCCGCGTAAAGAACTCACGGGCGGGGAATGAAAAAAACCCTCGAGGAGGATGCTCCCACTGAAGACAGGGAGGCGGAGATGGAGGGAAACAGAGGAAACGTCACTGCACCGACCTGGAGGGTTTCTCGGAAGGGCTTGGGCGACCCGTCCTCCTCCTCCTCCTCCTCCTCCTCCTCCTCCTCCTCCTCCAACTCCTCCTCCTCCTCCTCCTCCTCCTCCTCCTCCTCCTCCTCCTCCTCCTCCTCCTCCTCCTCCTCCTCCTCCTCCTCCTCCTCCTCCTCCTCCTCGGGTCGCTTACGGCCATGGGGAAACCGTGCACACCGAGCTTGCAGTCGTGCTGCAGCGGATTTTTGCGTGGATTTCTGCCCATGCAAGACCCCGAAACGACGAGGGAAGAACGATCCTGGCCAGACCAAATCCGCGCGAAATTCACTACGAAATCCGGACCAACATTCTCCAGGCTGTTTTCCGGTCGAAATCCGCTCTGCGATGTTCGCACCGTGATGCTCCCGCTGAGGACGAGGAGGCAAAAACGAGGGGGAAACGGAGGAAACGGAGGAACCTGGAACCCTGACGTTCCTGAATCTTGCCCGGGGAGCGCCTGCTGGTCGGGAGGAGTGCCAACCAAGACACCAAAATTCTGGGTCTTCGACTGTTGGACTCTGGGTAACTGAAAGAGCGAGGTACGAGTGATGACGTTGTGTTTGGGCGAAGCCCTCTAGGGAGGGGTCCAGGGGAGGGGGGAGGGCCAGAAGGATGCGGTGTAATGGCCGTTTTCGGGTTTTCCCTCGGGTTTTTTGTATGTGTTTCGGGTTCCCCCCACTTCCGTCCCAGCAGGGCCCAAGAGCGCTCCAAGAGAGCCCAAGACCGCCCAAGACTGCAAGTTTCATAGGGCAAGCTTGAGCAGGTCATCCACATTTACATGACACGTTTGAGCCAACAGTGTGTACAGGTCCTTAGGTGCGGGGCCCAAAGTGGCGGACCCTACGAGGCTCTGGAGATTTCCTGGGTAAGTTCTAGGGACACGGGTTCCGTGGTGGGACCGTTGTAACATGCACGTGCGTGTGTGCCCATATGTTGAAGGTTTTATTTCACCGTTTGCCATTCTGTCAAGCGAGCGCCCCCTCGCTTGTGCTCGCGGGCACATGTTTTGATGGTGGCTCTGTGAGCAGAGCCCGGTCGGACGGCCAACCGTGTGAGAGGAAAACGAGTTTGAGACGCTGTGCGTGTTCCGCCAACGACTTGCATGGTAGCAGGAGCTCGTGGTTGACACGAAGATCCACGGAGGACCGCGATGAGGGAGGAACATCGCGGCGACAAGGTGCCAGGCTGGGATGGAGATCCGAAGACCTGGCGGACGTATCGACGGAAGGCCCTCCGGTACCAGGAGGGCACGAAGAGACAAGACAGGTACCTGTGTGGCCCGAGGCTCGAGGCGAGGCTCACGGGCAGAGCTGAGGTTGCAGTGGAACGCTGAAAGTCAGGCTGGCTCTCGAGAGATGACGGGGTGGAGCGACTCTTGGCATGGCTGGAGCGCCGCTGCTCGCGCCAGGCGCGCCCGGCGTTCCTGATCAAGACCAGGCGCAGGAAGCTCGAGCCCATGCAGCAGTGGACGGACAGATTCGAGACCGGGTACCAGTACCTTCGACGCGCGCTGGCGCGTGCACTCGGCCACCCGACTCCGAGCCCCCCCTCGACGTCGAGCTGGAACCCCAGACACTGGAGATGGGTCGAGGTTGCGAATGAAGAGGACGACAAGGGGTCGAGCTGGACATGGGAGTATACCGACGGCCGAGGAGAAGACGAGACAGGGTCGCGCACCTGGAGTGCCACCAACGACGATGACGCTGAGGAGGAGTTGGACGATATGCCAGAGGTCTTCCCGAGCATCGTGCGTGGTTGGCTGATGCTCGCGCGTGCGGGCCTGGACTCCAGGGAGAGGTCGGCCATCATGACTGCCACCGGTGGCTCGCTGGAGGCCAGCACGATCCGTGACAAGCTGATCTCGACCTGGGAGGACGACGACCTGGCAGAGCGAGATGGCCACGCCCGATACCCGAAGGCATACACGGCGCAGATGGGAGATGATGACCGCACCTGGCTCGAGGAGGATGACGGGGAGCAGGGTGCGGGGCAGCTTCGCAGCAGAGCAGGAGCACGAGGAGTTCGATGAGGAACATGACATGGCCGAGGCCAATGACGAGGAGATCGAGTCGTACATGGCCGCCCAGCAGGAGGAGGCCGAGGCGTTGGCTGCAATTCACACGGCCCAGCGAACCCTTCGCCAGGCTCGCGAAGCGCAGGCTGACAGCCGACTGAGCCGTGGCTTCTACCGCGGCGGCCGGCCAGGGAGGCAAGCGAAAGGTGGCGGCCGAGGAGCCGGCGGAGGATTCCCAGCGGGATCTCGTCGGCCGATGGGCAACCAGTACGGAGGCCGGGGGATGATCCAAGCCCCGAACAAAGGACAGAAGAAGTGTCCGAGGTGTGGAAGTGGTCATTGGCTCCAGGATTGCCCTGACCGCCACGATCCCCGCCTCGGCCCCAAGGTGAACAGCGCGCCCGAGGCAAGCGCGAAGATGGCCACCCGCACGAAGGAGCTGAAGTTCAACCTAGTGGCCGCCATGGTGGCCGAGCAGGAGTCTGGGGACTCACCGAGCGAGGCGATGTTCGCTGAACAGGCCATCTTGGAGGGCACGGGGATCGTCGACTTAGGCTGCACAGACACCATGGGTGGTGAACCTGCGCTCGACAACGTGGTCCGCAAGACCGTTGAGAAGTATGGCGACACGAGGCTCTGTGACGTGAACCTCAGCTACCAGCCGGTGTACAGCTTCGGGAACGGAGAGAAGGAGCGCGCCTACGGACAGGTGAAGTTCGGGATCACGGGCGCGGGCAACGAGGGGGACATCGCGATCAACGGGTTCGCGAAGGACGTCCCGATACTCGTGTCGAAGAAGGTGCTCAAGAAGCTGGGGGCTGTCATTGACTGCGACACGGGGGTCGCAGTGTTCGTGAAGCTAGCCCCGAATAATTATCCCCGTGCAGCTGGAGGAGTCGCCCGATGGCGGACACTACTACATGAGCCCGGTGGACGACATCCTAGAGCACCGAGTGCAGGACCCCGTCAGGCTGCAGAACTTCAAGAAGATCAGCCAGCACGTCTCTGAGTGGGGCAGGCCGGGTACGGCCGCAGCAGTGGGGCAGGTGCAGTTCGGAAACGACCAGTCCGAGGGAGATGGAGAATACTCACACCTACTTCCCTCCCCTCGCGTCGTCAGCATCACCGTCGGGTCGAGTGAGGGATTCCGAACAGTCCGAGACCCCGGGAGACCACCAGCAGAGACGGAGGCGGACCAGCAGGGCATCCATAGCCGTTCTGGCTCGAGCTCGGCACCCCCAGAACCTACATATACTCGACCGCTGCCAGCGGATGGCAGCCAGATGTTCGGCAGCAGCTTCGTCAGAGGAGCGCTCCAGCTGGCCTGCGTCAGTGCCGCATGCAGGTGCCAGCCCGAGATGGGGAATGCCAGCTTCTGGCAGAGAGGTGCATCATCTCCACAAGGCGGAGGCGGTGCAGCTGATCAGAGAGCTGGGTTTGCCCTTCAGCCCGGCCTGGTCGATGGACAAGCTGAGACACACCATCAAGGAGACCCTCTTCCCGAAGGCCGAGAGCGCCTCTCAGAAGACGCTGAAGGGGATCAGCACCATGAAGAAGCAGGAGCTGGTCCAGAAGGCAGAGGAGGTCGGAGCCCACCTCACGCCGAATATGACGAACGCAGCGATAAAGCTAGAGATCCGCAAGGCCGTGCTGATGAAGACGAAGCCCGAGCCGACGGACTTCCTGGGTTTCGGCAAGCACGGGGCCCTGACGTACCAGCAGGTCCGGATCCAGTACCCGTCCTACGCCGAGTGGGCCCAGAAGGAGGCCAGCACCGAGAGCAGCTGGGAGCTCACCCTGTTTGTCTCGTGGCTCAACGAGATGAAGGTAGTCCAGGAGATGACCATGGGCCCGGTGGAAGCTCCAGTGGAGCCTACCAGGGCACGAGGGGGGGGAAGGTCATCTCGTCGGCGCACAACGGACGTGATGATGGAGGACGAGCTCGACGAGGAGACGTTGCGATCGGCCCACCAGGAGGAGCTGACAGCCAACCGCCAAGTCCAGAGGGAGATGCTGGCGGCTCTGGGTCAGCTCAACCAGAGGCTGGAGCGCCTCTCGAGGCGCCGAGGGCCCCGAGTTCCGCGGACAATGTTATCGCAGTGGAGCACAGTCAGAGTGGTCCGGCCGGGGTCTGAACCATGTCAAGGAGCTCGACCCGAGGAAGCAGCGGTGGCTCGCAGAGTGCATCAGGGAGAGCAACAGCACCGAGGACTTCGAGGCGCTGATGGCACATGGGGGGGTCAAGCTCATGGAGCTGGCCTGTAGTCCCGCATCCATCCCGAGTACGAAGATGGCCGAGAAGTTTGGCGAGGAGGCAGTGCAGCGGGTCAGCTCGTGGAACGGCCACAAGCTCGGGACGGCCCAGGGTAACCAGAAGGCACGGGAGACCGGGGACAAGGCCGAGCCCGACAACCTCACGATCAGCACTCGGTGCGGTCCCCTGTCCACGCTGACCCTCGGTTTCAACGCCTCCAACCCGGCCAGGGCAGAGGCGACCAGGAAACGACGGCTCCAAGCGATCAAAGAGTACAAGGGCGCGGTGCAACTGGTGTACGACCAGGTGGCCCAGGGCAGGCACGCCCACTGGGAGTGGCCCATCAAGTGCGAGTGGTGGGGCCATGCCATGATTCGCCAGATGATCGAGGACAGCTCAATGACCGTGGTGAAGGTGGCCGGGTGCCAGCTCGGGGTCAAGAATGAGAAGGGAGAGCCCCTCTTGAAGGAGTGGTTCGTCGCTACGACCTCACCGAAGATGGCGGCTCGGATGGCCACAGAGTGCCCAGGAGGTCACCGGCATGGTGAGCTCATGGGCGGGGGCCCCACGGCCTCGACAAGCTGCTACACGGACGAGTTCGCCCGGAGGGCCGTGCGGGCCATGATCGAGGAGGCCGTGCGGGACCACCACGAGTTCTTGAGGAGCACGTCTACGGAGAATGAGACCAACGGGCACGCCTTCGCGGGGCCACAGGAGTCGACCTCACCCGCCGAGGGCCCTGGCTCCAAGGAGTGCCAGAAGAGCATGCAGTGGCTCACGCCTGTGCACCGAGGGTCCGGCCACAGCTCCAAGGCGTCCATGCGAAATGCGCTGAAGAGGAAGGGGGTGAGCCCCATGGTGATGAGAGTGGCCAAGGACTTCCACTGCGAGGCGTGCGAGGAGGCGAACAACCACCGCCCGACGCTCCCTCCCGTCAGCCTCGAGGCCATACCCCCGAAGTGGAAGCAGATCCAGGCGGACCAGTTCGAGTGGGAGCACCCCCGGACGAAGCTCAAGGCCAAGTTTTCGCTGATCATTGACGAGAACGGCAAGGTCCGGGTCACTAAGCTGTTATACCACATGGTGGGTCAGGACCGCCGCAGGAATCCCGTCTGGGCAGACCTCAAGAGCTTCTACGAAGAAAGGTGGCTGCCGTACTTCGGGAAGCCGTAGCGCGTGAAGGTGGACCCCGAGGGCTCCTGGATGTCCAAGCAGGCCGCCCAGTATTTTGACTCGGACTCCATCGGGTACGAGCCGATCCCCGGCCAGGCTCACTGGCACATTTCTCTCGCTGAAGAGGCGATCCAGGCAACCAAGGGGACGATGGACAAGCTCGTGATGGAGAACCCGGACATGTCCACCGAAGAGGCCGTGGCCCGCGCCACGGCAGCCGGGAACTCTCGGGAGGACGTGCGAGGCCATTCCCCCTTGCAGCACGCGCTGGGAAGGGCCCCTGACCTGGACGGCCATTTCTTCGAGAGTGACTTCGACGAGCTGCCCTACGTTGAGGCCCAGCGGGTCGACAAGGAGTACGGCGAGAATTACATGAGGATGTACGCGGCCGAGCAGGAGTACCTGAGGCAGGTGTACCTGCGTCGCCTGAGTCGGGCAGAGAATGCCAAGAACCAGTCGCTCAAGGCCGTGGCGCCTGGCATGTGGGTGCGCTATTTCCGCAAGGAGAAAGGCGAGGTCAAGGGCCGATTCAAAGGGCTCGCGCGGGTGCTCGCGGCGGAGACGAGCTGGCCCGTAGACGGTGACCTTGGAGCAAACCCGACACTGCATCCAGGTCGTGCCGGACCTGTGGTCTGGTTGGTCCGGGCAGGACGCATCATCAAGGTGGATTTATGTCAGATCTGGGCTGCGTCGGCGCGGGAGATCGCCTAGGCTGAGCTCATGGCGGGCAAGAACACGCCCTGGACCGTGAACACATTTATGAATCAGGCGATGCGGCAGGAGTACCTGGACTTCTCGGGACACGATTCGCGGAGCAAGACGAGGAACTCGCATCCTGGGAAGGGTTGCCTGAGCCAGCACCTCCGGTGAAGAAGGCACGCCACGAGGAGCCGCCGAATGAGGCCAAGTCCGAGCGCAACCAGATCCCTGTGCGCAGGGCGATTCGGAAGAAGGCCGCACCGCCAGGAGGAGTGGCCAGCATCGTGAAGGCAGCCCGGGCCGCGCAGGCAGAGGACATCCTGATGGAAAGGGCTGCCCTCATGGCCAAGGCATCCCTGGATGCCCGATCCTTCTGGGCACGGCAGGGGACACCCCTGGAGGTCTCGGTCGAGCTGCCCCTGGCAGGAAAGCCCCTGAAGCAGGCCACGAGGCACATGAGCACCTACATGGCAGGCCAGTTGAAAAAGGGGACGCGAGAGATCTGAGCGGACCCTCACCCTGGAGGAGGTGAAGAAGTTCAGCGTCGCCAAGGCCACCGAGGTGAACAACTACGTGATATCCTCCGTGCTGGAATCCTTGCCGCCCGGGGTCACCCCGCCACCAGAGGATGCAATGCGCATGCGGTGGATCCTGGAGTGGACGATGGACGAGACCACGAGCGAAAAGAAACCCAAGGCCCGGATCGTGGTCTTGGGTTACATGGACCCTCAGTACGAGCACCGGCCGGCGACCGCTCCAACCATGACCAGGACCTCCCGGCACCTGGTACTGCAGGCTATGGCGTGGCTCGGGTTCAAGGGGTATAAAGCTGACGTGACAGGAGCGTTTACCCAGAACCGGGAGATCAAGCACGACCTGTTCGTGATGCCCGTGAAGGAGCTGGCCGTCGCCCTGGGGATGCCCGAAGGGGTTGCGATGAGGCTGCGAAAGGCAGTCTATGTGCTCGTGGAGGCGGCAATCGAGTGGTTCATGACGGTGAGCGAGGCCCTGGAGAAGTTCGGCTGGACGCAGATGAAGATGGACCCATGCGCTTGGGTGCTCTACGGTCAATCCCACGGCCAGGACACCAGCTTCACTAAGGAGGCCCTGGGTCAGTTTACCGGATCCGAGGTGATGGGCGAGCTGATCGCGGCGAAGGGTGACCTGGACATTGTGGCTATCGCGGGGTCCCACGTGGATGACTTCCTGCTCGGAGGGAAGGAGACGGACCCCAGGTGGATCGAAGCCCGGAAGAAGATCGAAGAGCGATTCAAGTGGAAGGCATGGGAAACCGACGAGTTCATGCATACTGGTGCCCGGATCAGGCAGCTGCCAGATATGAGCTTCAAGATGGACCAGAGTGAGTATGTCAAGACCATCGAGAAGGCAGTCGTGAGCCCGGAGCGCAAGAAGAACAAAGACGCCCGACCACAGACAAAGAGAAGGGGCAGCTGAGGGCAATCCTGGGTGCCATCGGCTGGCGCTCCGAGCAGTCAGGCCCCATGCACTCGGCGGACACAAGCCTGTTGCTCAGCACGATACCATCATCCACCGTGCAGACCCTCCTGGACACGAACCGCCTGGTGGACAGGGTGCGGGAGGGAGCAGACCTCCCGGTGGTCATCCACAGCCATTCCAGCGCGCAGGTAATCGTTCCCATCGAGTGGTCAGATTCCTCGGAAGCGAACAGCCCCGACGGAAAATCCACCAAGGGACTTGTTACAGGGATGGCCCCACTACGCATCCTGCAGGGAGATGAGTCAGACGTGAGCATAATCTCATGGAAGTCAGGGAAGACTGACCGAGGGTGCCGTAGTTCCGTATCATGTGAGACCCGATCAGCTGTAGACGGTGAAGACGAACTGTTCGGAGTCAAGCTCTAGTGGCTGGAGATACTCGGCAACCAAATTGACTGGCGCAACCCCGAAGGGACCCTCAGCCAGCTACCCGCCGCCCTCGTGGTGGACGCCAAGGGTCTCTACGACAAGCTGCAGACCACGGTATACACATTCCGTGGCAAGGAGAAGAGGACTGACGTGGAGGCCATGACCTTGAAGGAGGGATCGACAGCGTCCAACAACTGGGTGCTGTAGGTACACGGAGACGCTCAGATGGCGAATTCTTTGACGAAGGGGCACGAGCCCGGACAGCTGAGGATGTACTACAACAGTGGCCACAGGTGGAAGTTCGTCTACGACGCCAAGTACCAGAGTGCCAAGAAGCGGCCGCGGGGATCCTTCCGTTCGAGAGCGTCCCTCCTGGAGTGCTGCGCCAGGAGGATGCAGGAGACGGTGCCACGTACGCTGCAGCAGGTACTGGAACCAGTCCCGTGGGTTTCCCAGAGTACGAGGCGGTTTCTGATTACAGCAGTGATGGAGAGTTTATGGACTGAACAATGCTCAGCTTGGAGAACCCTGATCCGTGCAAGTTTCATAGGGCAACCCTGAGCAGGTCATCCATATTTACATGACACATTTGAGCCAACCGTGTGTACCGGTCCTTAGGGGCGGGGCCCAAAGTGGTGTACCCTACGAGGCTCTGGAGTTTTCTTGGGTAAGTTCTGGGGACACGGGTTCCGTGGTGGGACCGTTGTAACATGCACGTGCGTGTTTGCCAATATGTTGCAGGTTTTATTTCACCATTTGCCATTCTGTCAAGCGAGCGCCCCCTCGCTTGTGCTCGCGGGCACATGTTTTGATGGTGGCTCTGTGAGCAGAGTCTGGTCGGACGGCCGACCGTGTGAGAGGAAAACGAGTTTGAGACGCTGTGCGTATTCCGCCAACGACTTGCAAAGACGGCCCAAGAGGCCACCAAGACGCCCCAAGAGACGCCCAAGGGGCGTCCCAAGAGGGCCCCAAGAGGCCAAAATCAGTGATGTTCCTAAGGAAAACGTGCATTTTGAGCATCCGCGACTTTTCGGCCTCCACGGCGTCGACGACGGCCCAAGAGGCCCCCAAAACCGCCCCAGGACGGCCCAAGACGGCCCCCAAGAGGCCCCCAAAACGGCTCGAGAGGGCCCCAAAAAGGCCCAAGAGGCGCCCAAGACGGCCCAAGAGGGCCCCGAGACAGCCCCAAGAGGGGGACCACGAACCGAAAAGTCTAGCCTGTCGCCCCAAGACGCTCCCAGGAGGCCCCAAGAGCCCCCCAAGAAGCCCCAAGAGGGCCCCAAGAGGCGTCCCAAGAGGCCACCAGGAAGCCAAAATCATTGATTTCCAATGGGAAGCCCCCCAAGAAGCCCCAAGAGGCCCCAAGAGCCCCCCAAGAAGCCCCAAGAGGCCCCCAAGAGGCCCCCAAAGAGGCCACCACAATGGCTCCAAAAGGGCCCTAACAGGACCCCCAAGAAGGCCCAGAGACGCCCAATGAAAAGCGATCGGTAACGCAAAAAGCTCTTCACACCAAGGCTCCCAAGAGCGAACGGTGACGCAAAAAAGCTGATAAGACCAAGGCTCCCAGCAGAGAGCGGTGACGTAACAAGTTCCTGACACCAAGGCCCAGCCAAGGCTCAGGAACGGGCGGCAACGCAACAATCTCTGAACACCAAGGCTCCCCAGAGCGAGGGGTTGCGTAACAAGCTCTCAAAGCCAAGGCTCCCAGTACGACCGGTGGTGTGAGTAGTTTCAGCTTCTGTTTCTGAAGCGCTCTTTCCGTTTCTGTGCCGGGCCAGGTAACGGAAAGAGCGAGGCACGAAGGATGACGTTCTAGTGCATGGCGAAGCCCTCTGGGGAGGGGCGCAAAAGTCTAATGGTCGTTTTCGGGTTTTCCCCCGGGTTTAACGGAAAGAGCGAGGTACGAGTGATGACGCTCTGGCGTTGGCGGCGCCAAAGGGAGGGGTTCCAGGGGAGGGGGGTAGCGTGCACATTTGCGTGTTAATGGCCGTTTTCGGGTTTTCCATCGGGTTTTTGCATGTTTTTCGGGTTCCCCCCCAAGACGGCCCAAGAGCGCTCCAAGAGAGCCCAAGACCGCCCAAGACGGCCCAAGAGGCCCCCAAGGGGCCCCCAAGAGGCGCCCAAGGGGCCCCCAAGAGGCGCCCAAGGGGCGTCCCAAGAGGGCCCCAAGAAGCCAAAATCATTGATTTTCCAGAAGGGGAAACGTATATTTTTAGCATATGCGCTTTGTCGGCTTTCACGGCGTTGAAGACGCTCCAAGAGGCCCCCAAGACCGCCCCAAGACGGCCCAAGAGGCTCCCAAGAGGCCCCCTAACAGCCCAAGAGGGCTCCAAGACGGCCCAAGAGGCGCTCAAGACGGCCCAAGAGGGCGCCAAGACGGCCCCAAGAGGGGGACCACGAACCGAAAAAAAGTCTAGCCTTTTCGCCCCAAGACGCTCCCAGGAGGCCCCCAGAGCCCCCCAAGAAGCCCCAAGAGGCCCCCAAGAGGCGTCCCAAGAGGCGTCCCAAGAGGCCACGGGGAAGCGAAAATCATTGATTTCCTATGGGCAAAGGTACATTTTTAGCATACAAGGCTTTTCGGCTTTCACTGCGTTGAAGACGCTCCAAGAGGCCCCCAAGACCGCCCCAAGACGGCCCAAGAGGTTCCCAAGAGGGGCCCAAGAGGGCGCCAAGACGGCCCAAGAGGCGCCCAAGACGGCCCACGAGGGCAGCAAGACGGCCCCAAGAGGGGGACCACGAACCGAAAAGTCTAGCCTGTCGCCCAAAAAAGCTCCCAGGAAGCCCCCAGAGCCCCCCAAGAAGCCCCAAGAGGCCCCCAAGAGGCCTCCAAAAAGGCCCGACAAGGGCCCCAATATGACTCCCAAGAAGGCCCAGAGACGCCAAATGAAAAGCGATCGGTAACGCAAAAAGCTCTTCACACCAAGGCTCCCAAGAGCGAACGGTGACGTAAACAAGCTGATAAGACCAAGGCTCCCAGCAGAGAGCCGTGACGTAACAAGTTCCTGACACCAAGGCCCAGCCAAGGCTCAGGAACGGGCGGCAACGCAACAATCTCTGAACACCAAGGCTCCCAAGAGCGAGGGGTGACGTAACAAGCTCTCAACGCCAAGGCTCCCAGTACGAACGGTGGTGTGAGTAGTTTCAGCTTCTGTTTGTGAAGCGCTCTTTACGTTTCTGTGCCGGGCCAGGTTTGCACGTTTTTCGGGTTCCACCGTTTTCCGTCCCAGAAAGGCCCAAGAGCGCTCCAAGAGTGCCCAAGACCGCCCAAGACGGCCCAAGAGGCCTCCAAGACAGCCCAAGAGGCGCCCAAGGGGCGTCCCAAGAGGGCCCCAAGAAGCCAAAATCATTGATTTTCCTACGGGAAACATACATTTTGAGCAGACGCGACTTTTCGGCCTCCACAGCGTCGACGACGGCCCAAGAGGCTCCCAAAACCGCCCCAGGACGGCCCAAGAGGCTCCCAAGAGGTCCCCCAAAGCGGCCCAAGAGGGCCCCAAAAAGGCCCAAGAGGCGCCCAAGACGGCCCAAGAGAGACCCCAAGACGGCCCCAAGATGGGAACCACAAACCGAAAAGTCTAGCCGTTCGCCCCAAGACGCTCCCAGGAGGCCCCCAGAGCCCCCCAAGAAGCCCCAAGAGGCCCCAAAGAGGCGTCCCAAGAGGCCACCAGGAGGCCAAAACCATTGATATTCTATGAGAAAACATACATTTTTAGCACGGGGCTGAAGACGGTCCAAGAAGCCCCCAAGACCGCCCCAAGACGGCCCAAGAGGCTCCCAAGAGGCCCCCAAAACGGCCCCAGAATGCCCCAAGACGGCCCAAGAAGCGCCCAAGACGGCCCAAGAGGTCCCCAAGACGGCCCCAAGAGGGGGACCACGAACCGAAAAGACTAGCCTCTCGCTCCAAGAAGCTCCCAGGAGGCCCCAAGAAACCCCCAAAAAGCCCCAAGAGGCCCTCAAGAGGCCCCCAAGAGGCCACCGAAAGGGCTCCAAAAGGGCACCAACTGGACCCCCAAGGTGGCCATGAGACGCCCAATAAAAAGCGATCGGTACCGCAAAAAAAACTCTTCACACCAAGGCTCCCAAAAAAGAACGGCGACGTAAACAAGCTGATAAGACCAAGGCTCCCAACAGAGAACGGCGCCGCCACAAGTTCCTGACACCAAGGCCCAGCCAAGGCTCAGGAACGGGCGGCAACGCAACAATCTCTGAACACCAAGGCTCCTAAGAGCGAGGGGTGACGTAACAAGTTCTCAACGCCAAGGCTCCCAGTACGAACGGTGGTGTGAGTAATTTCAGTTTCTGTTTCTGAAGCGCCATTGCCGTTTCTGCGCTGGCCCAGGTAACGGAAAGAGCGAGGTACAGGTGATGACGCTGTGCTGGGGCGAAGCCCTTAAGGGAGGGGGCGCAGGTTTTGTAATGGCCGTGCTCGGGTTTCCCATGTTGTTTGCATGTGTTTCGGGTTCCCCCTCAAGACGGCCCAAGAGCGCTCCAAGAGAGCCCAAGGCCGCCCAAGACGGCCCAAGAGGCCCCCAA